ATTACTCTTATGTTCTTTGTACACACATTCTTTTGAATAAAAATGTTAAATTTTGAATTGTAACAATACTTCTTGCAATAATAAACAAAGCCAAGAGCGAGATACTTATTGATTGCAATGGGTGATATTAATACAAAATCTATTGAGTTTTATGATTTGGGGATAATTTGGTATTGGGATTAAGGGCTTTTAACCTCTGGAGGGTTGCTTAGACTGTGGCACTCATTTACTAACCTACCAGCAAGTATAATTTAGTTCTGGGGAATGAAGTGACATGCATTTTAATGTTGATATACCATGTGATTGAGAGGGCAAAAATAGATATGTCACAGGGACTCCATGACATGCCACAGTGATCTACAAATCTGAACAATAGACAGAGAAGTAAATACAGTAAAGATTATGGATCATATTTCCCATAAACATACACAAATAAAATGTGTTGCTTGCTAAGATGAGGGAGGCATTCAAGTTTGAGTGGTGATGGGGGTAAGAGACTTGTTTACAACCATATCCAACATAGGCTAAAAGAATCAGTGATGTGGTACCAATATCTTAAGAACCTTTGATATTAAGTCACTGCACATCCTCTCATGTGTATCTTGTATATATAAAACGCTGAACTGTAATGTCAATTCTGACCTTGAAAGCTTCCTAGAAGGTTGTAACAGATCCCATGAGCACCACACCAGAAACAAATACCTATTTGATATTCCAAGAGTACGACTTAGTCAAACTAGAAATGCTTTACAAATCAAGGGACTTCAAATGTGGAATGACCTCCCCAATTATGTTAAAGACTGTACCTCTCCCAACCAGTTTAAGATAAAAACTAAGTACCACCTAATTAACTCAATGTAACCTACCTCACCCCTAAATGTCAACCCATGTCTACGACTTTTAATAATGCTGTTTGTTGACCAAATTGTATTTGCTTTTTTCTGCCATGTTTCCCCCCCCCCTTTTTTTCTTTTTTCTGATTTTTTCACAACACAATTTATACTTTAGTATAAGTTAGTATTAAGTTTTAGTCTTAGTGTTTTTCCTGCCCGAAACGCTTTGCGTAATAGTGGCTTTAGGCATTGTATGTACTAGCTCTATCTATGAATCCATCAAGTTTTGTATTTCACCTTGTATGTATGTACTTTACCTGAATAAATATTTATATTTGTTTGTATCTGTATTTTTACCAATAAATTTAAAACTGTTCCGATGCATTTAATGTAACGTGTACCAGAAATAAGTGTTATAATATACTAGGAGAGACTGCAAGGCCTGGATGTGACAACTAAATAAAGAGTAAGAATTACATTATCACAACCTTTAAACTACTGTACTATAAAGTCACTAGAGTATTTTGGGTATACATTAACTTAAAATAATAAGTGAATTTAGTTTTAAATTTATTGGGTAATACTTAATACTGTATGAGAAGTAAGCTAACATAAATGAATTGTTACAAAAAATTAGCCAAATACCTGTACAGTACATAGTTATATACAATTAATCTGAAACAGAATAGAGAATCAAGGATTTTTCAGTAATTAGAATCGGTATCAGAATGGAGAGACATTAATCATGACTTCTGATTCTTAAACATTTAATACTGTAACAAAATAAAATTTTAGTTTTAGGTAGTTATTCCAACTTTAAATTATGATCATTAAGTATCAAGTACAGTATTTTACTCTAAAGCTACATTTTAATATTGCAATGTAATTTTATTTGAAAAATTATTAAATTGTATGGTTAATTGTATATAACATGTAGACCTGTAATGGGTAATGGAATGTTTTCCATGTTTCTTATTGTATTTTGTAGATTAAGGATTTCTTTTAAAGTAAAAAGAATTAGCTATGCTTTAGTTAGTGCTGCAATAGTAACTTTATCTGAAATAATATTACAAATTACAAACGAGGAGCAATGGCTTTAATCCCAGCCACAATGTAGGACGGAGAACTGGAAATGCTTTTTCACTCATAGGGTTATAAACCCATGGAACTGCCTACCCGCTGAAGCCATAAATGCCAAAACTCTGTTGGGTTTTAAAATATAACTAGAAAGCTCTCCAGAGCAAATGGGGGGGAGGGAGGTCCTTTGACAAGCTGCCAGCTTCCTGTCCTCTTCGAGGCCATTAGCATTAGTTTACCTCAGGTAAAATCAGGTAAATTGTATATCATTGTACAGTATACAATTAAAGCTTGTACATCTGCATGTATAATGCAATTTTTCACAATAAATAAATATATTTTTTTTAATACTGTACAGTATATTTATTTATCATTCTAATAATGTCAAGGATTAATTTTTCCAAACTAAACTACAAAAATTTTCAGAATAATAAGTATCAAACTATATTTTTAAAAGAATCGAAATCAATTATTATATCAGAATAGACTTTTTGGTGGAATTTGTATTGGAATCATTAAAAATGTTATTATTGTCCCATCACTAATATTAATATAGATTCTATAACTTGAAAAGTAACTACAGTATAATACAGTAATAGTACAGATACAGTTTATTATTCACAAAACAGCAGACACAAAGTGATTTAATTAGAATGAAGAAATGTGAGTGAATTTTGTTACATGATGTTAATTATGTGCAGTATTTTTTACTTTCACTTTTTTAAATTGATTCAGAAACGTACAGCACCTAATTGCATTTTAGAGGTCATATGCACGAGAGCCCCAAATAGACTTGGCAGGAAAGCCAACCTTAAATTAGATGAGAAGAGAACAAGAGGGCATAATCTATTGCTGAAGTAATAGAGGAGTAGACAGGACATCATTAAATTCTTTTTTGCCAATATCATGCAATTTAAAAATAAATACTGTTTGGTAAATTGGTGTTAAATGATTGGCCATCATGAGAATATTATCTAAACTGTTACAGTATTACAGTTATGTAGCTATAATTAAGTAAATACATACACGCAACACAGAGGGTTGGGGTTTATAATAGGTTATGAAGCAGTTTATTATTATATTTGTTTCAGTCTCTGGAAGTAGATAAATATTGTCACAACACTCAAATATTCGACGGAATCAAGGCTGACTCCACCTCGTCACACAAAAATTACATACAGCTTACTTTATAGAAATGTAAAATGCATTGATTTTCTTTGGCAAAGCCAAGGAAGGATATCTGTAATAAAAAATAATGTCCTCACATATAATTCTTGTTTCCAGAAGGCATACCAGGACAGCTGCCTAGAAGGGTCAAGTGATAGTTATTTGGAGAACAATGCAAGAGATCTACTTGTTCACCTACATATATGTAGACAGTACCAAGTTGTCTAATAGCATTTTAATATTTATTACTCTCCTCACAATACCATCACTCCTTTACATACCCGACCCCTTTCCACCTTTTCTCAGGAAACAATGGTCTGTCCTGGTATTGTTTCTGTAACAGTATGGCCACATGACCACAAAACAAGCAACAATAAAACTTTACTATAGCCCCACCAGGGGGCTGGGCAATGAATATGCTTGACCCTATTACAACCAGGAGTGTAAGTGGTTACTTGGTTTCACAATTACCACCACCAGAGGTAGTCCAGCCCTACCTGAGGTCACCAGCATTTTTCAGACAGATTTACAGCACTTGGTATCTCCTGCTTGCTATGTTCATCTTTGCCTCCAATGGGTACAAAAAGTATAAGTTTTCATAAGGGAACGCTTTGATGAAAACTTGTCCATCTCAACATCTAATTTAGCAAGGTGATGATGGTTGATTTTGTGGTGGCAAGGAACTGTATTGTATAAGTTATTGTGTTTAAGTGGACCAGCAACTTTATTACAGACTACTTACTGCTGTTACTGCCACCAATATGCAGAATCTGTAACTATGAAGATTCATGACAATTGGAGGTAAAACAGACATATAGCATCTAGTTGCATGATTTAAGATTTTTTTTATAAAGATGAGTCTATAAAATATTAGCCATTTGTTTTCTGTACATTCATGTACATATCCAAATAATTTTATAGTGTAAGGAGGCATTATCAAAGCCTGATCATTATTCTTCCTTAAAGCAATATTAAAGACTCTAGCAAGATCTTGTCATATGAGCTTTCTTTACCAACCAAGCAGTTTAGTTCAGTATAGCAAAGGCAGCATAGATGGCATATATAAACTTTTGTAAAAGTTCATCATCTAATTGCTTTTCAGTCTGAAATACATGTTAGTGGCTTTGAAGGTCAATAGAATACATTTCAATATCTGGAGGATTCACATTACAGTATAAAAAAAAAAATATAGAATGTAAAATAAAATTTTATGCATAGAAGTACATACAGTATTTGATGATCTGCTTGATCAACTGCTGTTATTTAAGGAAATACAGTATTATACTGTATAGTAAGAGGAAATTGCACTCTCATTTTCATAGTGAATGCAGTATTGAGCAATTTAAACAGTACACTGGAAATCAGACATAATAAATTAATGCAAAATATACAAATCTGAATCCTTCAAATCTACATTATCATGATCAATGGTCAGTCTTGCCTCTAAATATCATAGTTGCTGCTCTGATCAATTGGCTTCCAATGCAGCAAGACTAAGAAACCAATTGGGTGTGATGTGACAGTGTGGATTGTGTGTGTGTGCCTGCTGCTCTGTCAGGTCAAGGCCACATGAACAGCCATGCTCCTGGCTAGTGAAACCCCTCATTAAATTGAATGGGTTTCTTGTTCACAACAATGTTAAGCCATATCACATCAAATTTCTTCAACAATTATTATAGAATTCCTTTACTAGAGAGTTCTTTGCTCTCATTAAGATCACTCTAATATTGCAAATAACAATATTTATGATGATAATCTTCTAATCTCTGGGTCTGTGATGCCATCAACAACACAGAAAGAAATTCCATCAACAGCTTATGTTTAGAAGAAATTGCTACACTCTTGATCAACCAGTATCAGACAAGCATAGACGTTTAAATCAGGAGGAGGAACAGAAGAATAGGTGGTAGTAACTTCTCAAAGAACAACTTTGAAGGCTAGCATGTTGGCAACAAAGATGATCATAAAAGCGATAAGGGAAAAGCGGTCAATGATAGCGGCCAACAGGAGCCAGTCAAGGCCACAAGCAGTGGAGATATCGTCAGCACCGCAGTATAGATGAGCAGTGCCATTCTCGCCCAGTTCCATCTCCTCAGTCTTCACTGCTCGAGAGTATGGATGGTTGGTCTGGGACACCTGTGGGCACACCAAGGAAACATAATTATCACCACAGGAGAAAAAGAGGGACAGAGCACAAGATGACTACACCAAGGAGCCAGGAGGCAGTGTTAACCCCCAGAGAGAAAGAAGGATTGGAACAGCTGCTGGATTCACCAGGGGACAGCATTAAAACTCAAGGAGTGTCATAAAGAGGAAAAAGTAGGATACCTGCCACAATTATAGGGGGAGAAAATTAACTCTACAGGAATGTATCTTGAGGTGGGCAAGGGAGATCAGACACTGGGGTGGTAGTTGTTATGGTGGATATGTATCTTCTGGAATGGCATTCCGATACTGTGGTGACAGTTATTAAGGTAGGCATCTTCTAGGAAGGATCGAGGCACTCATTAGAGAAAATGGTAATAATATCACTGTTATTATAGTTATTAAAAGAGTGGTCTTATGCCTTTTATGATCACATGCTTAGATTATAATCTGAAAGTTTAGATTGTGATCTGCAAGCATTAATTTTGTCCCACATGAGATTGTCTCCCCCCCTCCCCCCTGAGGCAAAAGGATATCTACAATTAATATCAACTTTTATCTTGGTATTCCTCTACAATGTAAGAAAGCAATAGACCTGAAAATCATTTGCCTCCCAACTAATGAAACCTACGAGAGACTTGTAGTTGCCGAGGCAGAGACATGACGAGATGACAAGGAGAGGTCGCTTGATCCAGCCTGGGATTCCTGAAGTGTGGGGGTCACGAGCCAGCCTTGTTGACACTGCAGCCACTATCACACTGCCCACCACAAGGAGCAGCTGCTCACTCACCATCTCAACTGTGGGCAGCCACAGAAAAACACCTAGTGTTAGTATCCTGACACTGCACCAAACTTAATGGATATAATGCTGGTGTACCAGAGAACTGTAAAGATAATATTGTATTCTGATAAAAGAGGCAGGCATAAAATATATATTCAGGCATTGCAGGAAATCTGGATGGCAAATATGCTGCTATTGCATATCAGAAGTAAAATATTATGCAGTATTAGGTAAAATACATTGAAATGGGTGAGACCAGCACTAGGGCAGTGGTACTCTGGTTTATTGGACATATCATATTACTGGTATGACAAAAAATCTGATGCCAGAACCATGTGCACTCAAGCTGATGTGAGCAGGTGGTGCACCAGTGTGGTGTACAAGTAGTGTCGGCAGGTAATTACCTATGTGTAATTACCCAAGTGTAGTTACAGGATAAGAGCTACGCTCGTGGTGTCCTGTCTTCCTTCCTCTTTGTCATATAATGCTTTGAAATAACTGAAGGTTTTGGCCTCCACCACCTTCTCACCTAACTTGTTCCAACCCTCTACCATCTGTTTAAGAAAGAGAATTTTCTTATATATCTCTGCCAGCTTTGTGTAGGTAGTTTAAGTCTATGACCTCTTGTTCTTGAAGTTCCAAGTCTCAGGAATTCTTCCCTATCAATTTTATCGATTCCAGTTACTATTTTGTAAATAGTGATCATATTGCCTCATCTTCTTCTTCTATCTTCTAGTTTTGGCATATTTAATGCCTCTAGCCTCTCTTTGTAGCTCTTACCCTTCAGTTCTGGGAGCCACTTAGTGGCATGTCTTTGCACATTTTCCAGTTTGTTGATGTGCTTCTTAAGATATGGGCACCATACAACTGCTGCATAATCATGCTTTGGTCATAACAAATGTCATGAACAATTTCTTTAGTATTTTACCATCCGTGTATAAAAAACAATTCTGAAGTTAGAAAGTGTAGCATAGGCTCCTTGCACAATGTTCTTTATGAGGTCCTCAGGTGATAGTTTTCTATTTAGAACCACCCCTTAAGCTCTTTTTTTATCAGAATTCTTTAAAGATTTCTCATATAATTTCTAGGTTGTATGGGGTCTATGTTCTGCTATTCCACATTCCATAACATGGCATTTATTCACATTAAATTCCATTTGCCAAGTGATGCTCCATATACTTATTTTGTCCACGTCTTCTTGAAGGGCATGACAATCGTCCCTGTTTCTTATCTTCCCTATTATCTTAGCATCATTAGTAAACATGCTCATATAATTCTGTATTCCATCTGGTAGATCATTTACATAGACAATGAAAATTACCGGTGCAAGAACTGAACCCTGTGGTACTCCACCTGTGAGATTTCTTCAGTCCAATACATTGCCTCTGAATACTGTCCTCATTTTTCTATCAGTTAGAAACTTATTCATCCATGTTAGAAGCTTACCTGTCACCACTCCAATATATTTAGTTTCCAGAACAACCTCTTATGTAGAATTCTGTCGAAAGCCTTTTCTTGGGGGAGACCCTACGTCTCCCCGGAGCTATCCAGGCTGATAGGAATAGTCCCAACTTTTGGTATCAGTCGATGTGGATGGAGTTCTAGGCCTACCGGGGAACCACGGCCAGAACCTTGCCCCCTCAGAGGCACGAGGAGTAATGGCCTATAGAAATGCACTTGTGATTTTGGTGCATTCTATATCTCCCATCAACTGGGACCTGCACCCAGAAAGGTAAGCGCCTCAAAACAAACCCCTCTTCTGGTAAAACCAACGAAAAGAACAAAACTAATGAACAGAACTCCCCCAAGGGAAAACGAGCAAACAAGCATGACGTCACAGGAGCTGTGCTGCATGTCTGTGCAGCTCCCCACTCCTGGGAGGGAGAAGGGGGAGCCCCCCTGACCCTCGTGCCGGCGATCCACACCTCCAGTTCCTCGGCTGATGGGATAAGGCTTAGTCGTTGTGGCTCCAGATTCTCTTTGTGATGTGTCTGGATTCGGTACTTCTCTTCAGGGGGTATTTGTGGTGTTGCATCCTGGGTGGGGTCAGTAATTTGACCTTAGGGGGAAGGGGATCGAGACTCTGATAAAAGCCTTCCGTGTATGAATACACACTGGCTTCCTGTCCCCAGACACAATTAATTTTTATTATTATTATTATTACTATTATTTCCCTTGCACGAAACGCTGTGTGCATTGGTGGCTTTATGTATTGTATGTACTAGCTCTATCTGTAAATCCAACATTATGTTTGTAACTATGTACTTTTACCTGTATAAACATTTGAATTCGTATTTAAACATTTGATTAATAAATTTATAGCTTATTTTCCCACTAATTGTCTATGTTAATCAAAGTTGAGTTTAAGCCTTTACCTTCAAGAGCAGACCTATAATATTTAAATTAGCGCTGATTATGGGGACAGAGAATATAACATTAAAATAATTTGATAAAGTTCAATGCACATCGTTGAGAATAACAATAATAATAATAATAATAATAATAATAATAAAGTATGTAATAATAATTCATTATTATGAATCTTTATTTATAAAAAATATAAAGAATGAGAGTTGCAGGAACATGTTAATGAGTTGAGGTGTGGGAGAGAGGGAACTTACTGATGAGTGGGGTGTGAGAGGGCGCGTGCGTGACCACGTTAGACGTGTAGGCCAGGAAGAGGACGTCCAGTATAAGACAGAGGCCACCAAAGATAATCTTCTCCCCGGCGCAGGGAGGAAGCAGGAACAGCACAAACGTCAGAATACTCAGACCTGTAAATTCCAGGATTCATATAATAAGTTATCTTGATCAAGAGACTATCAAAGGAATGATTAGGTAGGCTGTTGTGGTAAATATTGAGTGTGCAGCTGCTGAAGATCTAACCAATACATTGTTGACTACGGTGAAGTGAGGACTTGTATGCATGGGATTCTGAGATATAAGCAGACAAGGTAGCCAAATAGTTGTATTATAAAATAGAACAGCAATGGAAGTAGCAGAAGCAGTAGGAGCTGTAGCAGCCATATGTGTAGTACTAAAGATAGAAGTAATATTGGTAATGTTACTAGTAACAGTTGTGCTAGTACTAGTAGTAGAAATACTGTAATAGTAGTGTATAGTACAAGTATTAGAATTAATATTAGTAGTGTACAGTTGAAGAAACAGCAGGAGCAAAGTTAAGGTTACCTTGCGATGATTTCGGGGCTCAACATCCCCATGGCCCAGTCCCCGACCAGGCCTCTGCTCCTAAGAGCAGAAGAAAAAAACGAAAAAAAGGAGAAGCGGGAGCAAAAAATGAGAGCAAATGAGAATTTATTGAGTACTCCATACTCATTGTGTAAGCATTAATTAATTCTGCTCATAATACTCACCATGTGAGCAGAAGTTTATAGTGAACACGATACTCATCGTGTGAGCTGTAGTTTATTATGGACACGATACTCATCATGCGAGCAGTAGTAAATTATGGACACGATACTCATCATGTGAGCAGTAGTTTATTATGGGCACGATACTCATCGTGTGAGCAATAGTTTATTATGGACACGATACTCATCGCGTGAGCAGTAGTTTATTATGGGCACGATACTCATCGCGTGAGCAGTAGTTTATTATGGGCACGATACTCATCGCGTGAGCAGTAGTTTATTATGGGCACGATACTCATCGCGTGAGCAGTAGTTTATTATGGGCACGATACTCATCGCGTGAGCAGTAGTTTATTATGGGCACGATACTCATTGCGTGAGCAGTAGTTTATTATGGGCACGATACTCATCGTGTGAGCAATAGTTTATTATGGATACAATACTCATTGTGTGAGCAGTAGTTTGTTATGGATGTGATACTCATCATGTGAGTAGTAGATTATTATGGACGCGATATTCATCGTGGAGCAGTGGTTTATTTTGGACGCGATATTCATTGTGTGAGCAGTAGTGTAGAGTGACACCTCGATGTACGACTGCTCCTACTTACGAATTTTTCGAGTTATGACGTAAATTTTGTCGGAAAATGCAACTTGACTTACGACTGTGACCTCGACTAACAACCTTTGTTGATACGCGATTGGGTCAACCAAGCGCGTGATTCTTGGTGGCAAGGGCCGACCCGCCTCAGTTTACCAGAACCGCCCGCTTAGTGATGATCGCGCTTGTAAGGAATTCCATTATTTTGGTGCTTTTTTGTTTTTTGAACATAAAACTAATTATTATATATCATGCCATGGGTCCCAAGAAAGTCAGTGGTAAGGTTCAACCTAAGAAAACACATGTGAGGATGGCCATAGAGCAAAAACAAGAGATCATTCGTAAACATGAAGACGGTTATCTTGAGGTTATCTTGAGATGATTTCGGGGCTTTAATGTCCCCGCAGTCTGGTCCTCGACCAGGCCTCCACCCCCAGGAAGCAGCCCGTGACAGCTGACTAACATCCAGGTACCTATTTTACTGCTAGGTAACAGGGGCATAGAGTGAAAGAAACTCTGCCCATTGTTTCTCGCCGGCGCCTGGGATCGAACCCAGGACCACAGGATCACAAGTCCAGTGTGCTGTCCACTCGGCCGACCGGCTCCTGGCAACAACGGTGTGCAGGTTGTTGAACTAGCTCGGCAGTGTAACACCGTAAAGGTGTTTTGTATTTAATATATACATAGTACAGGAGTCACAGACAAGATTTCGAGAGGCGCCAGGTTGGCAGCCCCTAGGAATTAAGAAACTCACACCTTTAAGTCTTAATGCCAACCAAGTGACCAAGGTCAGGTCGCGTGAAGTTGACATGGTCTCTGCTAAACTCATAATTGCAGGCGGCTAGCCGGGGGTGACCTTCAAACATACCGCCAATTTAAGGTGTGGCTTGGTAGAGTGCCTGGGGCTATCTACTTGTGGGCGGAGTTAGCTAGTTGGTCCCCAATATATACCCAGGGTACTGTACACTCAAGAGACAGACAGACAGCAGACAGGAGAACAGCCAGCAGAACAGAGCAAAGGACAGCATAGCCAGGGAGGCTGTCAGCCGGATGGGGCGGGACAGTCTCTGTCAACTACAGTCCTCCCCCCCCCCCTCTCTCTCTCTATCCAGCTATAGGCAGACACTTGGTGAGTTGAACATGAAAGATGACTTAGTCGTGTTTACTAGTGTTGTGTGACTATCAGGGGCAGACAGCTGTAGTGGTCTCAAATTCTGGTGTAATGACTCACTTTGTATATTAATAATGAACCTTCAGTTCGATTGCTTGAATTCTGATATTTATCATGCTAAATAAATAATGGATTCACTTACATTTAATTTGATTTTAATTGTGTTCCCGTGTTCTTGGAATTTCTGATATATGCCAGACTAGAGTGTAGAGTACTCTTGAGTTAGTGACTGAAAGAATCTTACATGGAACATGATACAAAAGTTAAAACATGCTAATAATGACCAGTTTATACATCTTTGAGAATTTTGTGATACCGACAAGTTCCATTCCTTGTCTTGTATGTAATGGTCTTGAATGGATGGTGGCAGTCTACCTTCTACTTATCTACCCTTCTACCTCTACTACTACCTCTTCTACTCACTTCCTACTCCCTCTCCTCTCCCACCGCCTCTCTCCACCCTGTCACTTTCACCTGACGTCTCTCCTTACTCCTCCCTACCGTCCTCACCCCAAACCCTCACTAATTACAACATTATTCATATTTTTCCTTTCGTTTCTCTTGTACGTTTGTGGCAGTGAACTGTTCTAGAGTTCTCTGGAGTCGCGAGTAGCTGATCAAGTTACAATGCCTTGTGTTAGTGACACCTAGGTAATCAATACCTAGGTCACCAGGTGTTGAATTAGAGAGGTTGCAGTAGGGAGTCTGGGGGGTGGGGACTCTAAATTTACTAACTAGGGGCAGGATAATGGACAAGAGGGAGCTATTTCCCCCATCCCCCGTTACAGTAGTTAACTAGGGGTGGGATAAGGGACAAGAGAGAGCCATTCCCCCCCCCCCCTCCCCGTTACAGCAGTACAACAAATCTATGTCAACAATATCCACCATACTTGCTAAGAAAAAGGACATTATGAGTTCTAAAGTGGCACAAAGCGTAACAATAATCATGAAACATAGAACACAAACACTTGAGGATGTTGAACAGTTATTATTAATTCGGATACACAGCAAGGACTTAGCAGGTGATAGCGTTTCAGAGGCCATCATTTGTGAAAAAGCAAGGGAATTGCATGAAGATCTTATAAAGAACTCCCCTGGAACGAGTGATACAGATGCGAAATAGTTTAAGGCGAGCAGGGGATGGTTTGAGAAATTTAGAAAAAGACGTGGCAATCATAGTGTTGTGAGAGTTGTGTGTTGCGAGTTGGTGGAGGAACACAGCGAAGAACTGACCACCGAAGAACTTCACAAGGAGCAGCAACAAGAGGCAGCTGAGGAAATTTATTCAGGGGGAAGAGGAGACAGTACAGAATGTCCCTTCCTCCGTCACTATGTGATGGAGTGCGAAAAGACACGTGAATTTAGAGACAATTCTATAACCAATGTAAATATTTCATTCAAAATGATCTGCTACCAGAAATTTTAGCCAAATATCCTCAGTTTGCTAACTGTAGGTAGAAACTAAGTGATTGTAACCTATCACCGCTGTCCACTGGATGGGGGGCGGTGTGCAGGACAAACATATAAATTGTGACACGTACTAGCTCTCCTCATATGTCAGTTGCTTAATTTAGAACCTGTACTTGTGGTTGATCTCGAACCCATTGTTGATGTGACGACTTATATTGAATTTTGTAACTAGCTCATCAAGATTGTAACTTGCTTAGCTAAATGAATTGTGGGGTTCAGTCCCTGAGCCCATTATGTGCCTCTGTAACCCTTTCCACTACCGCCCACAAGATGGGTATGGGGTGCATAATAAATGAACTAAACTAACTAACTCTTATACTAAGAAAATGTGTGCAGCATGGGAAGAACTGCAAACTTTAGCTGAAGCGACTCACCCAAGTCATGGTGCAATAGGCTATTGCCTTAACCTTTTTAATGACACTGTGATGCCTCACTACAGACAAAAATTAAAACGTATGGAAAACAAATCTCTATGGAAAGGTTTTTAGTGAGACAAACAAGCAGTGAACCACAACCAGGTCCTATTGGTATGCAGGCAAAACGTAGGAGAGAGTGTACCCCAGAGAAGTCATCACTGCCTGATGTGATAATGGAAGGGGACTCCCCTTCCAAACAGTAACACCTCTCCTCCTCCCCCCCTCCTCGCCGTCTTCCATACGCCAACAAAAGTCCTGAATAAAGGTAAGATAAAATCCTGTATTGTAGCTAGAAAAAGTTGTATTAGGTATAAAATGTATTTTTAAGTTAATATTTTGGGGTCTGGAACGGATTAATTCAATTTACGTAATTTCTTATGAGAAAATTCGTTTCGACTTATGAATTTTCTACTTACGACCCGACCCTGGGAATGGATTAAATTCATAAGTCGAGGTCCCACTGTATTATGTACACCATACTCATCCTGTGAGCAGTAGAGCAACAGGATTACAGGGGCAGGAATATAGTCTTAATCAGTCCACGGTGACTGATTTAGCTCTTAAGATTTATCTACACATCTTACATTTAATTATAATGATTGGTAGTAGCAGAAACTTCTTGGGGAGTAACTGCAGTATGATGAAATATCATTAGACACTGTAGGTAAGTCACTGTAAGTAAGTCATAGGGTTCGTATCCTGGCCGGGGAGGATTTACTGGGCGCAAATCCTTAACTGTAGCTTCTGTTTAAATGAACAGTAAAATAGGTACCTAGTTGTTGTTGTTACTTGATAATAATAGCAGACCCCGTGATGCCGGTCGGCCGAGCCGGACAGCATGCGGGACTTGTGATCCTGTGGTCCTGGGTTCGATCCCAGGCGCCGGCGAGAAACAATGGGCAGAGTTTCTTTCAACCTATGCCCCCTGTTACCTAGCAGTAAAATAGGTACCTGGGTGTTAGTCAGCTGTCACGAGCTGCTTCCTGGGGGTGGAGGCCTGGTCGAGGACCGAGCCGCGGGGACACTAAAGCCCCGAAATCATCTCAAGATAACCTCAAGATAACCCCCCATGGTGTAGTGGTTAAGATGCTCGCCTGGCGTTTCACGAGCACTTTGTATTGGGTTCGTATCCTGGCCGGGGAGGATTTACTGGGCGCAAATCCTTAACTGTAGCTTCTGTTTAAATGAACAGTAAAATAGGTACCTAGTTGTTAAACGATTTTCACAGGGTCGTATTCCAGGGAACATAGGATTAAGGACCTGCCCGAAATGTTACGCGTACTAGTGGCTGTACAAGAATGTAAGAACTCTTGAATATACAAATAAATAAATAAATACAAACTTAACAGTTTTCATGATTGGATATTATAGGGTAAAATAAGAGTTACTCATTATATTTTAGGCTATGCAGCTTACACAGTATATATATTTTCATGAAATTTATTTCCATTTATCTACTAGAAGCAAAATATACAGTGCAAAAATGTTAGATATATGATCATTTACACTAACATTGCTTGCCATTTCAGGCAATGTTTGTTTATATTTGTCTCTAGCTGGCCGAATTTTCACGCAGTAGAAGATGTAATAATGTAGTGGGTCCGGGTCTTCTCCACACTCTTTACAGAAGCAAAAAGCAAGAGTAAAGCAGTACAGTGTACAAAGATTAACGGTAAGTAATTATCAAGAGAAAGTACTAAGCCATTACAACTCTATTGTAATTGGAAGGAATATGAGGATAAGGATTTAGGATAGGATGGAGTGAAGGATTGGTGCCTAACCACTTGAACAAAATGAGATAAAAGAACCATAGCAGGAGACTAACCCACAGCAGGCAGCTTGACAGTCCAGGCATAGGCGGGAGCATTCCTGGCGACAAGAATGGACACTTTAATAGTGACATAGGGTTCTGGACAGCACAGGTACCGTTGCACGTCCCTTGTCATGTTGGCCTCCACCAGCTCCCATGATCCTCTTGTAAGGTTCCTGCCGCTCTCAGTCTGTCGCACAGGCACGTCTATCTGCACCAGGAGGATCATACGTCATGCTCTTGTGGGGGAGAAGGGGGTTATTTACATTGTTCTATAGTGGAGGAGGCAGGCTCTAGGCTGCACTCTTGTGGAGGGGAGAAGGGGCCCTAGACTACTATTTTTTGGGATGGCAGACTCGAGGTTGAACTCCTGTGGGGAAAGGGGATGTGAGAGTCATATAACCCACCACCTCCTTTTATCACAATAGTAAGCCTTGCTAGTGTGTGAGAAAGAGGGACCCAAGTCTTGTGTGTGTGAGGGGAAATCTAAATCTTACACCTGCAGGAGGAAGACAAACTCTTTCTCTTATGATAGGTAGTTATTCAACAGTATAAATCTCCGGTGCACTTGGATTATTGTATCCAAGCTTCGAGAACTAATCTTCAGAAAGACATTTGCTTTGAAGAAAATTCAACACTGGGCAACACAAATCATTCCAGAATTAAGTAGACTCATGTACCAGGAATGGTCGAGGGCCACAAGGCTAACAACACTGCAAACCAGACGTAACAGGCAGATCTCATCGAAACTTTTTAAAATACTGAAAAATTTGGAGGATATTGACTAGGACAACTTCCAAGCCGTGCTGAGCAGAGGATGTAGACAACTGCGCTACATTGTTCCGCCCATTTACCTTACTTTTCCCCATCAGTATTTATATATAACATTCCTAAATTTAATCTAGATTTTTAAAATCTAATGTTTCAAGTTCTTTATTTAGATGATAAAGCATAATTTATATCCTTTTCTTAACACTATTCGTCTATATATATATATATATATATATATATATATATATATATGCAAACAAGCCTGAATGGTCCCCAGGACTATATACAACTGAAAACTCACACCCCAGAAGTGACTCGAACCCATACTCCCACAACTGGTATGTACAGGGACGCCTTAATCCGCTTGACCATCACGACCGGACATAAGGAAGTGATAGCCGAGGCTATATGAACCACTTCCCCGCCGGCACTCGGATGGTAATCTTGGGCATAGCATTTTATCAAATCACCTCATTCTTTGGGGCACACGTGAGGAACACAAATGCAAACAAGCCTGAATGGTCCCCAGGACTATATACAACTGAAAACTCACACCCCAGAAGTGACTCGAACCCATACTCCCACAACTGGTATGTACAGGGACGCCTTAATCCGCTTGACCATCACGACCGGACATAAGGAAGTGATAGCCGAGGCTATATGAACCACTTCCCCGCCGGCACTCGGATGGTAATCTTGGGCATAGCATTTTATCAAATCACCTCATTCTTTGGGGCACACGTGAGGAACACAAATGCAAACAAGCCTGAATGGTCCCCAGGACTATATACAACTGAAAACTCACACCCCAGAAGTGACTCGAACCCATACTCCCACAACTGGTATGTACAGGGACGCCTTAATCCGCTTGACCATCACGACCGGACATAAGGAAGTGATAGCCGAGGCTATATGAACCACTTCCCCGCCGGCACTCGGATGGTAATCTTGGGCATAGCATTTTATCAAATCACCTCATTCTTTGGGGCACACGTGAGGAACACAAATGCAAACAAGCCTGAATGGTCCCCAGGACTATATACAACTGAATATACAATATATATAATATACTATAATATACTATAATATAATAATAATATACAACTTGTGTTCCTCACGTGTGCCCCAAAGAATGAGGTGATTTGATAAAATGCTATGCCCAAGATTACCATCCGAGTGCCGGCGGGGAAGTGGTTCATATAGCCTCGGCTATCACTTCCTTATGTCCGGTCGTGATGGTCAAGCGGATTAAGGCGTCCCTGTACATACCAGTTGTGGGAGTATGGGTTCGAGTCACTTCTGGGGTGTGAGTTTTCTGTTGTATATAGTCCTGGGGACCATTCAGGCTTGTTTGCATTTGTGTTCCTCACGTGTGCCCCAAAGAATGAGGTGATTTGATAAAATGCTATGCCCAAGATTACCATCCGAGTGCCGGCGGGGAAGTGGTTCATATAGCCTCGGCTATCACTTCCTTATGTCCGGTCGTGATGGTCAAGCGGATTAAGGCGTCCCTGTACATACCAGTTGTGGGAGTATGGGTTCGAGTCACTTCTGGGGTGTGAGTTTTCAGTTATATATATATATATATATATATATATATATATATATATATATATATATATATTACTTAGTTACATCATTCATTGCGAGGCCTTTCAAGAAAAATTCAAACTTCGTTTTCTTTAGGATGCTGCTTCAGCAACCACTACCACATCTTGACAACCCTGGCCAAGGCCTCTTCCAACACCTCACCTCCGGTTTGTCGTCCATAATCTGGGGGTCGATAGCGAATCCGTCGTGGACCCAGGAGCCGATGATGAGGGTACAGTTGTGGGTGTCATGGGGCCAGAAAGTGAGGTCCATGACGCAGGTGAAGTGGAGTCTCATCGGTGGCACAAAGAGCACCCGCCCGTTGGGGAAGACAATGAGCAGCGTGTTGGAGAAGGAGGGCGGGTCTCCCACCTTGGCACTGTTGGGGATACACTCACTGTTATATTACACACTTAGGCTCTCACAACTGTCACTTACCATGAGACAACACTACCTAATGTATGTAACGAGTTCACAACACATGTGGCTCAGTAATGGCATATATGCTGAGCACAAGTGCACTTAGTGAACTGAGGTGGTTACTTTGCAAAAGCCAAGCTTCTGCAGAGTCTTTAGTTAACATTATATTGCAGGAGGTTTATACCAGATGTAGAAGTCCGGTGCAAAGTAGACGCTACATACCTGTTGTAGACGTCTAGGTCGGGTTTCCAGAGCATGTTGTAGGGGAAGGCGAGCTTGGAGATGCCCCGGTATTCGTCAGGAGTCCACGACAGACGTGGGTCAACCCACTCCTGCAGGGAAACGCAGAGTTAATCATCAGAGGTCTCACACTGCACCTCATCTCTTAACTGAATTTACCTGAGGGCCACTAATACTAGTGGCCTCGACGAGAACAGGAAGCTGGCGGTTTGTCGAAGGTTCCCCATTTGCCTGGATGATCTTTTCTACCTGTATTTTAAAACCCAGCAGAGTTTTGGCACGGCTTCGGCGGGAAGGTGGTTTCACCTATAGGGTTTACAACCCTATAGGTGAAAAAGCATCTCCTGTTTGCTGTGCTACATTGTGACTTGTTGAGCTTGAACCTGTTGCTCCTTGTGCATGTTATATCTGACCTTCTGAAGAAAGTGACCGGATCGACATTGACTCTCCCTCCATCAGGAAAAATGGGAGGACCATTGACAAACCACTGGCTTTCTATCCCTGTCGTGGCCAGAAAACAGATGGCGGCCCTCAGGTAAATACCACACTCCCTATAGTCTCTACCTCAGCTCTCATTAACATTTATTCCGCTTTCTCAGTTTCGTAACCGTTTCCAGGCCTTAGACCCTGACACCATCTCACCTGCTCCTTTGCGTTCTGGGCCAGAGGGTCTTCCTCCTGGTTCTATGTCTGGTGTTTCCTTCCATCCTTGTCTTATTTGTCTCCTGTCCCTTCTTTCCCTTCTTGCCCCAATACTTCTTTTCATCCCTCCCCTTCCCTCTGTGTTTTGGCCTTCCTCACCACCTGTCTGTCCAGGCTCTATCCCAGCGTTCTTCATGTTGACCATTCCTGTTCTCCTTCTCCTGTTGAGACTATAGAGGCTGTCGCCCAGTACATTGGTGATGGTACGTTTGCTACTCTACGTCAGAAACGTAAGCCTGGCTCCTCTCCTTCTTCCTCCCTGCGGGTAAGAAGGCTTCAATATATTCCTCACCTTCCGACTTCAATACTATCACTGCTTCCCCCTCCCATTTCAGTTGTGGAGTTGCCTGTCCCTGCTTTGGCGGTTCCCCTGGTCCTTGATTATCTCTTGGATGCTGCCCTTGATCCAGTGCACTCTCCTGTTTCTGTCCTTCCTGCCCCTGATTCCCTTGACCTCCCCTCTCCGATCCCTCCTCCCGCTCTCGACTCTGTCAGTCCTCCTCTGGTCCATCCTCACACTCTCTTGACTCCATTGTCTTTGCTAGCGTTGCCTATGCCCTGTCACGCTGATTTCACTGATCCTGATTTTACTTAGTCTACTGTGTTCCTCTTTGCCTTTGTTTCTCCCTTGTTATCTCTGTTTCTGTCTGCTCTCATTTGTCTGTCACTTCTTCACTGGAATATTCGTGTTTTTTATACCAGCTTCCATGAACTCCAACTTCTGAGCACGCAGTGTGACGGACCTCGGCACCATCCAGGTTCCGAGTTTAATTGTTGACCCTCCCATTAATATTAGTTTCCCATCTTCTAGTCTGCTGTTCTGGGAGGTGATGAGGTACTGGTGACAGAGGGCTAGTGGAGTGCTGGAAGACTTCACTGTGTGAGCGTGCTAGCGAGTGGGCTAGTGGGGTGCTTGAAGACTTCACTGTGTAAGCATATTAGCGTGTGGACTAGTGGGGTGCTTGAAGACTTCAATGTGTGAGCGTGTTAGTGAGTGGGCTAGTGGGGTGCTTGAAGACTTCACTGTGTAAGCATATTAGCGTGTGGACTAGTGGGGTGCTTGAAGACTTCAATGTGTGAGCGTGTTAGTGAGTGGGCTAGTGGGGTGCTTGAAGACTTCACTGTGTAAGCGTATTAGCGTGTGGACTAGTGGGGTGCTTGAAGACTTCACTGTGTAAGCGTATTAGCATGTGGACTAGTGGGGTGCTTGAAGACTTCACTGTGTAAGCGTATTAGCATGTGGACTAGTGGGGTGCTTGAAGACTTCAATGTGTGAGCGTGTTAGTGAGTGGGCTAGTGGGGTGCTTGAAGACATCACCATGGAAGCTAGCTAGCGTGAGGGCTGGTGGTGCACTGGGAGACCTCGTCAGAGGAATGTACATAGTGTCCGGCATCTTTGAAGCTAGCTAGCGAGAGGGCTAGTGATGCGCTGGATGACCTTGTCAAAGGATTGTATATAGTGGTAGTTGTAGATAATAATAAGGGTTATTTTTAAGTGCAGTTTCATTTATCTTATCTTAAACATTACACAGCATTTCCACAAAGGTTAGGGATCATTGGGCTTGAGAAGGATCATAGTTTAAAAGAAAAAAGTTCGTAACACGCAGTTTTCACTGTTTTGTGTTTGTCTCCAGGAGCCGGTGCTTGGCGCTCATCCTGGTCACTCATGTGGTTATCCCTTGCTCTCTTGGCCTCCATATTTTGCTACGGGCCCATAACTCTACTGTGCTTTTGATCCGTCATGATATTCCCTTCGCCCCCCCCCCCCCTCCTCCCTACTTTTTCAATCGTACATTCGGTGTTCTGTGGCCCGTATCTTTGTGAGTAAAGAATAGTATACAGTTTGTTCCATTTATCTCTCCCCAAATGTCCCGGTTTCTCTTCCTGATCTTAAACACCTGTGGGACTCCTCACCAGAGCCTGTGCTCCTTTTGGGTGATTTTTAACTGCCGGCATAACCTCTGGGGAGATGTTCTAACAAACACCCGAGGCCGCCTTATTGAACCATTTTGTCCTCTTCTTCTTTGTCTCTTCTGAATTCTGGTAAACTCACTCATGTTCACTTATGCACTTGCATCCTTTCCTGTCTTGATCTGTCTCTCTGCTCATCTACTCTTTATTTAGACTTTACCTGGCGAGTTCTTGATAACCTCCATAACAGTGATCATTTCCCCATCCTTGTCACCTTCTCTTTTCACCCTCCATTCTTCTTCCCTAGATGGCAGTTTGTCAAGGCTGACAGAAACTTCTTCACCTTATGCACTACTATTTGCGATCTCTCTGATCTGCCTCTCCCTTGAGTCCTCCTCCTTTTTCATGACAGTTTTTTACGCTGCCCTCTGCTCTGTTCCTTGCTCTACCTCCTGGGGTGTGCAGAAGTGTATTCCCTGGTGGAATGCACACTGTGCTTGGGCTGTCCGCTGTAAGCGTGTAGCGTGGAAGAAACACCATCGCCGGCAGACGCCCAATTCTTTTATTTTGTTTCGGAAGTAAAGTGTGGTGGCCTGTAGGGCTATCCATACAGCTAAGCATGAGAATTGGAGATCTTTTGTTTGCAGCATTACAACTGACACTCCTCTGCCCCTGATCTGGAAGAAAATTCGCAAGAGAGCGGGTAAGTTTGTTCCAGATGTTTCGCCAGTCTTTCACCTCTGTGGTTCTATTGTGGCAGATCTGGTGTCGGTCACGACTGAACTGAGTTTGCACGTTTCGACTATTAGCAACAGTTCTCATATTCCTCCTTCTTTTCATACTTGTAAGCCCCTTCATGAATCTTGTCCCTTAGATTTTTGCACTCATCTTCAGCTTCCCCATAACGATTTTTTCTCTCAGAACTCCAATCTGCCCTGGCCCTCCGCGGTTCTGCGGCGGCGGGCTCAGTTTATATTCATTATGAGATGTTTCGCCATCTTCTTCCATGCACGTTTCAGTATTTACTGAATATTTATAACCATGTCTGGGAGTTGTTGTCAGCCCGAGGACTGGCTTGAGGCGGTTGTTCTTCCTATGCTTTTGCAAGTGTTACAGCACGACTGATGTCCTTGTGAACTCTGAATTTTTGCTATAAAGACCTCCGTTGTCGCTGTCTTTTTGTCCTGGAAAAGGCGTATGACACCATCTGGAGATACCATATTCTGTCCCAAGTCCGTTCTTTTATCCTTCGTGGTAATCTCCCTCTCTTTCTCCAACGCTTCCTGTCTATTCGTTCCTTTAGAGTGAGGCCTGGTACCACTCTCTCTGCCTCTTTTGGGCAAAGTAGTGTTCTGAGCACTACTCTTTTCCTCGTTGTCCTCAATGGTCTTCTTTCCTCTCTTCCCTCTGATATTTTCTCAGTTCTTTATATTGACAATCTCACCCTCTGCTATCAATGTGATGACTCGCCTTTCCTCCAACGGCGGCTTCAACTTCCGATTGATGCTATATTATCCTGGGCCACCAATCATTGCTTCAAGTTCTCTATAACTGAGACTTGTGCTATGACTTTTACTCGGAAGCAGGTCTTTCTTCGACCCCTTTATCGCTTTATGGTAATTCTCTTTTGTATAGAGATTCTGCCAAACGTCTGAGATTATTCTTTGTCTTTGTTTTTTGTTGTCCCTCGTTTGTCTTTGTCGCCCCATATCTCTTACCTCAGAGTTGAATGATATACGGCCCTTAACTTACTTAAGGTCTTGTCCCATACTTCCTGGGGAGCTGACAGGCACACTCTCTTCTCTTTACATTCCTCTCTCATATTGTCTAAACTTGATTATGGCTGTCCTGTTTACTCGTCTGCCTCTCCCTCAACTCTTCGTCGTCTTGATGCTCTTCACCATACTGGGTTACGCCTCAGTTCTGGTGCCTTTTGTTCGACTCCTACGCAGAGCCTGTGTGTTGAAACCGGCATCCTGTCTCTACAGGATCGCCGTGATTGCAACTGCCTTCGCTACTTTGCATGATCCCTACAACACTCTCACTCTCACTTATGTCGTACTTTGACCATAACCCCTCCTGTGGTACCTGTTCCATTTCACCACCTTCCCCTTTCTATATGATTGTCTCGCTTGCAAGTTTCTCTCTCGATTCTTGTTATCAATATTCATTCGTGTCATTCCATCCTTGCCTCCATGGAGGGTCCCTCTTCCTTGACCCACATGTCAAAACTTTTTACCCCTCTGAAAACCCTTTTCCTTGCTTACTTTTCTTCATATTTCTGCTCCATTTCCATCTTCACAGATGAATCTAAGTCTGCCGACGGTGTAGGCTACTCTGTTGTATTTTGACCTCATCTATATGTCACCTGCCCCCGGAGACCAACAACTTCACGTCAGAACTTTGTGCAATTTTGTATGCTCTTTGTCAACTACTTTCTCATTGACAATCTGTCTTTGTTCTTGTAGTTGACTCTCCCAGTGCCCTCATGTCCTTTAATCTTGTCCATCCTGTGGTAGTCGGAAAATCAACATTGGTTGTTTCTTATGTCCAGCAGATTTAAAACAGTAGTTTTGCTGGGTTCCCAGCCATATTGGTGTTTCCTTAAATGAGCGTCTGGATGCTGCCACTGAGGAGGCTATCCGCACTTTTCCCATTTCCCACAAAGATGGTCCATATTTCGACTTCTACCCAGTTATTCATTCCTCAGTCTGTACCCACTGGAAGGATCGGTGGTCGTCTGTTACTGGCAACAAGCTGTGTGCTCTTAAGGGTAGCGAATCCCCATGGCCATCCTCCTACCTCCGTAAGCAGTGGTGGAAAACGGCTTCGGCGAGGTTATGTATTGGCCATTCCCGTTTAACTCACAGGCACTTAATGGAGCGCCACCCTGCTCCTTATTGTCCAAACTGCATTGTCCCTCTTATAGTCGTGCATCCTGGACTTCCAGGACGTGTGTGTGTGTGTGTGTGTCTTGCTTCTCAACTGTCCCTCGATAGAATTCTTGGTGAATTGGATACCTTTGATATCACTCGCGTTATGTGTTTTTAGTTCTTGTATTGGCATCCTCGGTGATATTTAGCGCCCTTTGAATATCCCGCACTTTTGATGGTGCTACATAGCCTTTCCAGCTTGGTGTCTTCTTTTGATAATTACTTAACGGGTCCAGCACCAGTCAAGGAGGGCACTGGACGGTACTGTGAAGTACTCTAGACGGGCCCACTGCCAGTAAACAACTTTTCGAGTGATCAAGTCCAGTGGGAAAATATAATAATGGTAAGATTCAAGACATCTTAGATACAAAAGATTCCTTCCAGACAGCAATATCTGGACGAAATGCTGGACAAAGTATACCAAGTGGAAAACAGCTGAGCATTTTATACTTCTAGTGGGCATTTACAGTTGCGTTAACGTCGGTCTGACACTTTATGTTAAAGCAATCAAAAAGGCCCAGTGACTGAAGCTAATTTCTCAGTAAGTTTAAGCAAAGGCAAATAGATGAATATTCTAGGGAAAATGTTTTGAGTTTCAATACGATCTGTCATACATGGGCTATTATGTGTGTGTGTGTGTGTGTGTTTGTGTTCCCTCGTCTTCTCCCAGCACTTACATTAACGATCCAGGAGTCCACCATCAGGGCTTGTTCCTCCTCGATCTGAAAGCAAGATTTGTAATTAGAATATATGCAATGTGTGGGCGTACATCAGTCCGTGCACACAGTGTGTAGGGGTACAGCTATGTGCACACCAGGTCAATGTTCACACTGAGTCCATGTAGACGCCAGTAGTATGTGCACATAAAGGGTGTATGTGCTCACACTAGGCCTAAGTGCACATATTAGATCCACCTGTACGTGCTAGACAAATACACATATACACAGTTTGCATGTCCTATATCGAGGTAACATGGACGTATAATGTACAAATGGTTTACAGACACTGTGTATGGTAATCTATAAAACATTACAGTATACATAAACCAGACATCTATGTAACATAGAATATCGACGTGTCCGCCCAATGTTAGAAGCCAGATGCTTGAGGCCTCGCTCAACTTTCCAAGATGAATCAGGTTGGACAGGGGAGTGTCATAAGACCTAAGACAATTGTTGCAAGCCTAAGTGAAATGATTTAAGCTAGGCATTTATAGAGATCACTCCACATGGAATTTTCTTGAAGTAAAGTCTGAAATATTTGTTTTCATAGAGTTGTTCAGCAGTTACAATGCTTTATAATAGATAATTTTTTGAGTGGGGTGGGAAGAGAGGGGGGTAAAGAAGGGCGAGGGAGGGAGAAGGCGGGAAGAGGAGGGGATGAGGGCAGGAAGAACAAGATGAGGGGGAAGAAGAGACCTAGGCACAGCCGAGTATTTCTTGTAGTATAGATATACAGTCAGAGATGTGTATAGCCAGTCAAACACCTCAAATCTGAGTGACTACTCACCTAAGTGTGCTAGTAGAAATGAGCTCTAGTTCTTAAGTTCCGCCTTTCGACCTGACTAATTCTCTTTCAGTTAGTGTTACCAATATTTCTTCTCTTGTTGTTCCATCCTTGACCCCGTGGATGGTCCCCCTTCCTAAATTTCGTAAAACCCTGACCCAAGTGACTAAAGCTTTTACCCCTACTACAGTTCTGAAACGCCTTTTACCCTTGAACACTTTACTCCCCACGCCCGCTCCATTCCCATCTTCACCGATGGGTCTAAGTCTGCAGACGTTGTGGGCTACTCTGTTGTTTTTCCTGACCACACCTGTGTGTCGCCTGTCTCCGAAGACTAGCATCTTCACGGCAGAACTTTATGCTATGCTCTTCGTCAACTGCTTTCTTGCTGTCAATCCTCCTTTGTTGTTGTAGTTGACCCTCACAGTGCCCTCATGGCTCTGGAGTCCTTTAATCCAGTTCATCTGGTAGTAGTTGAAATTCAGCATTGGCTGTATTTTATCTCCAGTAGATTTAAGAAAGTGGAGTTTTGCTGGCTTCCCAGCCATACTGGTTTGTCCCTAAATGAACATGCAGATGCTGCCACTAAGGAAGCTATCCGCACTTGTCCCATCTCTTGTAAAGGAATTCCTTATTCTGACTTTTACCCAGTTATTCATTCCTCCATCCTTGACCATTGGCAGGGTTGTTGGTTGATGAGGGGCTGATGGTGACGACCACGAGGGGGACGAGTGAACGTGTCCACCTGGAGGACAGGATGGCCTAGGGCTTTGAGAATATGTTTAATATCCTCGTGGCAGTCTCTTAGGTCATTAAAACCAGTTGCAACATGGTGCGGGAGGAGAACAGTGTCAACACTGGCACATGTGTTCTTTGGGGCACACGTGAGGAACACAAATGCTGAGGTTATTTGATAAAATGCTATGCCCAAGATTACCATCCGAGTGCCGGCGGGGAAGTGGTTCAAATAGCTTCGGCTATCACTTCCTTTTGTCCGGTCGTGATGGTTAAGCGGATTAAGGCATCCTGTAGATACCAGTTGCGTTGCTCCTGGCAGTATGGGCTCGAGTCACTTCTGGGGTGTGAGTTTTCAGTCGCATATAGTCCTGGGGACCATTCAGACTTATATATATATAATACAAATATAATACACACACAAATACTTGAATATATAATCGGTAGTATTTTTTATCTAAAGTGGTTCAAGAAGTGGCCCAGAACAGTCTGTACACAAGGCACTTTACATCTGGTGTGAGGCAATTGTACAGTTATTAGTCTTGCTCTATACCCAATTGGACGGCAGCTTTACAGTCATGTGCAGGCTGCACCTACAGTAACCGAACTTTGCACGCTTGCCTCAGTACACTATAATGAATTAAGTACTTACACACTTCTTGAGAGAGAGAGAGAGAGAGACCACTCTCCCCCTAGGGTTAGGGGGAGCCACTCACCATATCGAAGTGCTTGAGAGTGATCCTAAACTTGACGACGGTGGTGGAGGCTGGGAGGGCCGTCCTGTCGTAGTTAACCAGCAGGTGGCGTCTCAGCTCCGTCTCCGACTCCGACATCCCGTCACCTGTCACAGAAACACACCCGTCACTTGTCTACACACTTCAACGCACACACACAACTATGCTGGCATATACATTAACACCGTTCCAATAATGCCTACACTCCAATAAAATCATTATACATAAAGAATATACGAGGATATGCTCCTAGATACTTCACTTAAAGTTGTGGTAATTGTACTTTATTACAGGTTTATCTTTTCAGAACTCATATTTTTGAGTATTTTGATGGTGCCTAATACTTCTTTGTCTTCCAGGTGTAGCAATTTTGGACTATTGGATTGACTTTGGATTACGTGGTGTCTTGTGGCCACAGTCATACTCGTAATTGGTTATTCAATAATCTTTGCTATATCCCGTGATTTCCATCTTATTCTTGTCCCTTCTGGAGAATTTCTCATTTCGGCAGATCACCCCCTTTGGTACCCTGGAACTTTGGTTAATGTCCGGGCTAATACGCCCCACGTCTTTGCAATCCAAATGTAGGAGGACACAAGGGGCCATAGTTCCTCTTGCACGGACTACACTGTACGGTTGGGACCCGTACAGTGGTTCTCGTCATTAATTTACTTACACAGGTAGGGAGTTAACATTCTTTTCCAGAGAACAAAAAGTGGTAACTCTGTAAGTACTATCTAGTTTTAGTAGGAAACCTCTTACCTTGGTTTTCGTCATTTAGAGACCAGGTAAGAAATCCCTACAATTTTTGGACTACCGTCGAGACAATTATGTTTCACAATTCAAGTAGGATCCCTCTTGCCCTTATCCTCGTCATATAGAATACCGGTGTTACGGCCCTATTGGGTCGCAACTGGGTTCTTTCTCTGATGTCAATAGAGTTTGGGTATCCGGCCCCAAGTTAGTAGTGACTTTCAAGGGGTGTGTTCCGTAACGCAAGTAAATTAAAGGGGAAGGGAGACAAAGGCAAAAACTTAAATATATAATTATCACCGTCACCATAAATAATATATATTTTATCACACGGGGGAGGTATAAACACTATTATGTACAATATGGTCTTCCTCTGAAGACGCGGAGTGTTCCACGGTGCTCAACGATGCTTAGCCCTTGGTCCTCTTGTGGCTTCATGATGAATCCTTCGATTCTCTCGAGTCTACCCTGGCCACAGGCCAGCCAAATCACAGCTCCACTGGGGGCACCGTCGTGGAGGCCATCAACCACAAATCCAGCCTGTAGCTGGCAGGTTCCTATCAGTTCCGCTGGGTAGGCCACTCCACGACCGATACTAGGGTTGCGAGCCCTAGGCAGGAGCCTCGTGTGACTTCACAGATCACTCTCCTCACCACAACACCCCAGTGGTTAGTCTTCTCCACTAGTCAGCCCCGGGTACGACAATCCCTGGATCTGCCACCTCACAGGCAGGCTAACACAACAGTGTTCATCCGGGGGAGTGACTCAACTTCTGCAGCTTACACTTGGAGATTCTACAGCTGCCTTGGGTAGACTGATCCAACGTTCATTACAGCAGTCCCAGGTCGACTCTGTAATCAGACACGTCATCAGTACTAGTTACACTCTAGGGCACCTCACTTACAGGCTTAGACACAAACGCCCACCTATCCACTCCATAGATGGCGTTGCTGTCTAAGCGTCACCTCACCAGAGGTCAGCAGCGGCTGTGTTATGAGCTGATCAGGACGGGAAACTAGCCCTTGTGGCCAGTATATCTCGTCCTCACTAGATGGCGTCGTCCATTTGGAGGGGGTTTCGGGAGCTGACCCACAGATGGCGTGGTCGTCACTGCTCCGGGCTCGGACGCTGGACTCTGGTCTGTAACAACCGGGTACAAGATTCCCTACGTCCTCGAAACGTCCTAGATCATTACTTTTGATCTAAGTAATCAATTCAATTCAATTACTAATGTTTATTGTTGTAACCTTGACTATTAAGTTTAAACAGGATAGTTTACAGCTGCCACGTCATCCTGTCAGTCTGACATCTCATATTTTAGTACATCAACTGAGGTATTTTCTCTGTATACTATTTGCTATAATTTCATTCACCATGTTTTGCTTAGCAGCGTGCAGGCATACTTCAGAAGATGAAGTGGGCACACTACATCGTGCCACTAAGGCAGAGCTGCTAACTCTTCTAAATGAGTACCACATCACTGCCCCACATGGAGCCACTAGAACTGAGCTCCATAACATCATTTTGGATCATCTATTAGACAATGATCATATTACATCAGAGTCTCATAAACAACACTTAATTGCAGATAAGAGCGCCTTGGCAGCTATGAAATTGAAGATAGAGCGACCCAATCTCGAACGTGAACGTCTGAAGGAGGAAACTGCCCGGCAGAAGGAAGCTCTCCAGATACAGAGGGAACAAGCTACACTCCAAAGTAAGCGTCAGATGGAAGCTCTTCAGATAAAAGAACGTGAAGCTGCCCTCCAAAAGGAGCAAGTTGAACTCCAACGTGAATGTGAACAAGAAGCTCTTAAGGTAAGGGAACGTGAAATGGAACTCCAACGTGAGAGTGAGCGGGAACAAGCTGCCCTTCAAGAGGAACATGAATAGGAAGCTCTCCAGGTAAAAGAAGGTGAACTTGAAATCCAGCGTGACCATGAGAAGAAACAAGCCGAAATTCAACAAGCCGCTGAAAAACAAGCGGCCATCGCCCTAGAGCAACGACGTAAGGAGCTTGCCTTGGAAACTACTCACCACACTCAGCGCAAGGAAGCAGAAGCTAACCTTCCGGTACGTTTTAATCTTTCTCATGCAATTAAGTTGATGCCATCTTTTGTCGAGACAGAAATATACGTATTCTTTACTTCATTTGAGGCTTTAGCTAACCAACTCAGCTGGCCTCAGGATCAGTGGTTTGTACTTCTCAGGTCTCATTTGACAGAGTTGCCATAACCCTCAGTATCATGCCTTCAGAAACAGACTACAAAGTGTTGAAACAGACAGAACTTGACGCCTATCTCCTCTCCATAGAGAAGTACAGACGTAAGTTTAGGGACTACATTAAAAACAGTGCTAATACTTGCCTAGAGTTCGCTAATAATAAGAAAAGGTATTTCATGAAGTGGCTGGAAGCAGCACAAGTCTCCTCCTTTACAGAGCTCATCAACCTCATACTGGTGGAAGAATTCCTTAGGCGTGTTCCTAATCCCATACGTCTCTACCTAGCAGACAAGGAAGAAACCGACCTTACTAGATGTGCACAGTTGGCTGACTCCTACAGTCTTATTCACAGAGTACCATTCGACACACCTTCTAGTAAGACAGCCTGGTCTAGTCCTGCAAAACTGAGTACCAGCAATGTGAACTCGTTGCATTGCAAATGCTGCAGAACCTATGGACATAAATAAATAAATAAATAAATAAATGTTTATTTAGGTAAGGTACATACATACAAGAGATTTTACAAAGAATGATGGATTTATAGATAGGGTTAGTACATACAATGCTAGTACATACAATGTCCCATACATTCACATATGGGACTAATAGAACAAGAACCCGGCAATGTGATGTTATAGTGGCCAGAATACGGCTTGGATATATACGTATCTGGCAGCTTTCTCAAAACCCAAATGTCGAGTACACAATGTGTCAACTTTGTGAAAGAGAAAACATGCACTCTCTTGAACATTATATTGTAGAATGTCCCATATTGACTGACTTTCGCCCTCCTGGGCTAAGGTATGCTGAACTGTGTAATTACTATATGAGTACTGGAACACTTGATGATATATTGGACTTGAACCCAAGATTAACCATGTAATGTATCAATTATACAATGTATGTATGTGATGTAACTATATAACCTGAGCTTGTAAAAGCACCTTCATCACCTTCAGTGATTAAGTGCTTAATTGCACACTAGTTTCTCTATCAGCTATCTCACCCTGTCAGAGTAAAAGAGACAAATGTATGTGAATGCATGTGTGTGTATATGTATGTATACATGTATGTATACATGTATGTGTACGTATGTGTGTGTGTGTGTATGTATATGTATGTGTATAAAGTATATATGGAAGCTGATCAGAATTACATTTCACCTTTGTAAATGCACATTAATGACACTATGTAAAAGACACACCGAACACTTTATGTAGGACATACGTAAATCTGTGTATCTATGTATTTACGTATGTTGGTTAGCTTAGCATTTTAAAAGCACCGAATCACCTTCTGTGGTTGATTGTTCAATAAACCCTTGAACTATATGTTTAACACATCTCTAACCCTGTCCATGGAGGACAGAAGAAAATGTATATATGCTGGTTAGCATTGTAAATGTGTGGCCACGTCTGTGGTAGAAAAAAAAGGATGGGTATGGGGACCACTACCACCCACAGGATGGGTATGGGGACCACTACCACCCACAGGATGGGTATGGGGACCACTACCACCCACAGGATGGGTATGGGGACCACTACCACCCACAGGATGGGTATGGGGTCCACTACCACCCACAGGATGGGTATGGGGACCACTACCACCCACAGGATGGGTATGGGGTCCACTACCACCCACAGGATGGGTATGGGGACCACTACCACCCACAGGATGGGTATGGGGACCACTACCACCCACAGGATGGGTATGGGGTCCACTGACACCCACAGGATGGGTATGGGGACCACTACCACCCACAGGATGGGTATGGGGACCACTACCACCTACAGGATGGGTATGGGGTCCACTACCACCCACAGGATGGGTATGGGGTCCACTACCACCCACAGGATGGGTATGGGGTCCACTACCACCCACAGGATGGGTATGGGGACCACTACCACCCACAGGATGGGTATGGGGACCACTACCACCCACAGGATGGGTATGGGGTCCACTACCACCCACAGGATGGGTATGGGGACCACTACCACCCACAGGATGGGTATGGGGTCCACTGACACCCACAGGATGGGTATGGGGACCACTACCACCCACAGGATGGGTATGGGGTCCACTACCACCCACAGGATGGGTATGGGGTCCACTGACACCCACAGGATGGGTA